CAAAGAACTCTTATTTTGAAAAACGAAATGTGATCGTCTCTCTGCTTTTATTTCCGGTTTGTAAAGGAAGCGCGACAGTGTTTAACGCTCATTTCTATGGAAGAGGCAGACCATAGACAAACCGTGCTAAACTTTGTGAGTCATCTTGGTGAGTTTTAATGCTGAAAAGTATTTTAAACAAGTAACCGGACTTTCCAGAAGCTAATTTTGAATATCTGTTATGTTAAGCTGGTGGGAGGTAGAGAAACCGTGTCCCTGTCCCTTGCCTTGTGAATTTTGATGCCTTGTCAAGGTTAGTTAAAACTGTGCTTGCTAGAAAAATATCCTGGTATCATTCTAGAATTAGCATAATTTAAGTTCACAGTAGTATGAGGAAGCAATTTAGTTATTTTTGCACTTTTTTTAATTAAATGTAATGTTTATTGAGGTTAAATGTAACTTTTTCAAGGTTTAACAGGAGAAAGTTTATAGTGCACATGATGAACTCATTACCTCAGAGGGTTGTACTGATACAAAGCTAAGTCTCCTTTTCAGAGTGATACAATAATTGTATTTCTGAATTAGACAAGTGCACAGTATTTTAACATGATTTTAATCAAAATTAGGGATTACAGATTTATGTGGTGATGATTCTAATTTAATGTGATAGGTCTTGAAAAATTAAAAAGCTGTTAAAGCTCAGACTATAACAATCCATCTAAACTTATTTTAAGACTAAATACTACAATTTTGACTCTTCAGGAGGAACTGGCATAGCATCTTTCTTGCTATACCAGCTGAAAATGGTCAACAAATGGAAAAGTAGGAAGTGAGCAGTGATGAGCAGCAGGTCTTGGAAGGGTGGCTGAGATGTCAGCCAACTGACTAAGGAGGAAAGTGAAGGTGAGATAGAGAGGTAAGAGGGGAGGGAGGGATGGTACCCTGTGAAATAAAGCAAAGCCCGTCACAAAGCACTAAGAGGCGAGTCAGCACAGCTGCCATCTGCATTTTGTTTAGGATTTGTACTTATTTTTTCTCCCTCACTCTGAATATTTCTCCCTTCCTTTGATTCCTTGAAACATATAAAGCACATTCCCACCTGGACCTCATTCACCAGCCACAGGCATTTATCTAGGAGTCTTCATGCACATTTGCATCAGAATTACCTTCAGAGGTACTGATGTTAAACTCCCAAACCACTGATTCTGCGGATCACTTAAGCCCCGAGCTTATCTAGGTTATTATAATTTTTTTTTTGGAGGGATTTATAAAATCACATTTCATGAGGAAACACTGAACCACGGACCATTCCCAAGGTGTTAATAGCGACACACTCACACACCTGTTTACCAATTTGGTTTCTTGGCATTGTCGAATGGAGCACGTATCTTTTGCAAATCCGCTTTGGCTCCGTTTATGGATACTTTCTCTAAATCGCCTCATTGCAGATCAGGCTTAAAGTTTACAAAGTTGATCAGTAGTTTAACTTTAATTTGCAGCCTGAAAACTTAAGTGAACTAATGATATGGGTCAAACCTGCAAGGATATCTTTTTCTTTAAAAACACCCTTGGTCTATATGGCAAAGAGGGTTATGCTTGCAGAATTATTTCATATGATCCTGTAATGCAATCTCAAAGCAATGCATGCATATGGAAAGCAAAGGAGGTAGAGGATGAGATCAGACCCCCTGAAATCATCAACATAAGGAAACAGGTGCAGCAGGTTTGAGTTAAACCTCATGAAGTGAATTGAAATTCTTGATTTGGAGTGATACCGGATGACTTGCAAGAAGAAAAAAAAACAAACAAAAACAACACAAGTTAAAACATGTCTTTAATGAATAGGAATCAGGGAAATGAATGTTAACTCTCTCTCAATCGAAAATTTTACATTTCCTCAAGAATGTAGCATTGAGCTAAGAAAAGAAGCATTTAAACTGGAATAAAATTCTTAATTGCCATGTTTTTCTTCCACTTTTTAAAGCCATCTTCACACAGTTTTACTTGTATCTGGATTGTCTCCTTTGTCTTTTCAAAGACGGACAGTTTACATGTTCTTTTATTTGTTTATGCAAATGTAAAAGAAAAAAAAAGAAAAAATCAAAGTCCTTTCAGTCTAAATTAGGTCTTTCTTGTTTTTCAAAGCAACAAGGCCAGCCCTTTAAGAATTGCATTTGTGCTTTGATGTCCAACCGAGTTAGGCTACATTATTCTTTTCTTTAGCAAGTCAAATTGATGTCCCCAGTATCCTCTTGTTTGGAGTTGAGAAACATTTGGAAATTTTAATTGTTATAGTCATTGATAAGATAAGTACATACTGCCTGCTCCACTTTTTGTTTATACATCTTTCAGCATGCGAGGGGTCATGTCCTAACCCCTGGCATGACCCCTGACCCCTTGCGCTGCTTTGGCTGGATTTCACCTCTGAATTATGG